CCTTGATAATTTGGTTACACCACCTAATTACGATCAGAGAATCGGGCTGATGTTTGTTTACCTAATTACGATCGATGTGACATGCATGGTGTTTCTGGCCGAGACGCATGAGGATAATCTCTATCTCACGAAGGGCAACTTCTAGCATTGATTGCATTAGAGACGCTGATCAAAGATGGCGCGCGGGAGATATGTTGGAGGATCTTGCTTGGATTATTGTGCCAAGTGGATGATATGACTCCGATTATTGCTCCTGGACAAAGATGTACTTGACCTTTGGGCTCCTGGAAATTGCCTCAACACGGTATGGGTAAAAGCAAGTACGTACGAACAATAAAATTAGTATTAACAGGTAGAATATCGATCATTTCAAACAAAATATAAATGTATGTGCAACTCAGTTTCCGCATATACCTTTTTTTAATAAAGAGTCCTCGCATCTCTATGATATTTTTCCCCCCGCGTTCAGGGGCTACGTTTCCGGGGACATAACTATGTGAAGCTGACACGAAAGTCAACATGTGCTTTTATCATTGACTAGTTTTTACACACGTGCAATGCACGTGATTTAATACCATGATTAAGTATTTTTGGCAGTTTGTGCTCATTTTTTTCTTTAAACTCTTACATCCCGATTATTTTTTTATGTTTGTTTAAATGGGATACACCCAATTTAAATTTTCATGTTGATATTTGAATTGACAAAAAACAAATATAATTTAAAAATAATTTGAATTTTCATATTATTTTTGACCGATATGAAACTAAGCTTTATTTGAGAAAGTATAGCATTGCAAAGTGAAAAATATTAAAATAGTGTTATACAAGGAAGGTGAATATTTAAAACCAATATGGCAAAATGATTGATTTAAAGTATGTTAAAACGATGCAAAAGAGAATATGAAGTTTATTCCTAATCATTGATAGACTTCATAAAAAAATATAAATTAAAGATTAATGCTAACTCTAGTATACTTTTATATGATAAAAACATCCACATAAGAATATAAAAGTACTGAAAAAAATTCATGAAACTCCCTTCTAAAGATTCCTAATTTCACTCAAAATAATTAAACTATTCTATAAAATATTCATAAAATATTGTTTTTATTTCTTCTATTTTATTTTTTATTGAGTTAAGATCAATCCTTCTTCAGGTTTATCATTTATCATTTCTCGGACAATTCTAGAGTATTGTCTTCATCATCTACATCAATTGTGACATCAGGCTAATTTTGTATTTTTTATGCTATTATCTTTCCTAGGCTCGTTAATTTTTTATCATCTCATTTAACTTTACAAAGAAGTCAAATGTACTTATGATGTTCAACACAAACTGCTCAAAATATAGACTTTGATTTTTTTCTATTTCAATGAGAATAAATATTAATTTCATATATATAAAATTCTTTGTGTTCCTAATTTATTACTTAAATAAATTAGAAGCTATCTCTTTATTTTCCTCTAAAATGAATTCTTCTGATGTGCATCCAATAAGAATTTCTGTTATTTCAATAATATTACCTTTGCTCTATCCTTATCATTTTTCATAAAGATCTAAAATAAATACCTGCATTATTCATTACTAATTTCTCTTAGATTATAATATTAATATTTAATTTGAAGAACACAGTATGGAATTTATGAATACTTACTAATTTTTCTTATGTCTTCCATGGAGATTTTTTCTTTGATTAGGATAAAGTTATTAAATTATTTTTTAATGTAACTCATTCAGTGCTTCATTAATAGATATGTCTTATGTTAATGCCAATTCAAGTGATTCATTGACGTTTTCTGAATTTTAGATTTATTTCCATCACTTTCCCATTTGCAATGGAAATAACTCAATTCTTTTAAAGTTATCTCTAAATATTCTAATAGTTTCTCCATATGTAATTCCTTGTATTCTTTTACCCTATAAATATTATTAACGTCAAAGATTAAAGTTTCTAAATTAAAATCAATTAATGCTAAGGTATAATATTATAGTGTTTTATCATTTCTATGGATTTAAACATCTATCAATTAATGTTACGAATGTATTTTGGCTACCCCAACTTATTACTAAAATTATATGAAATTACTTTAATTTATATAGTGTCGATAATTTTTAATCTATAATATTTTTAAAAATTTTATCCATTAACCGGATGTTTTTAATCAATTCTTATTGTTTTTGTTTACCAGTATCAACTTAGACTATTCTTAGATGCTGAAAATGGATAGTAAATCCCTAAATTAGAAATTTTAATATATATATATATGAAAAATACCAAACAATTACACTTTTCTTTGCCAAGTTTTAAAATTTTAGCCCATTTTTGTGGTTTTGAACTTTGAGGGTGTGATTTATAATTTTTAAATTTTTGAAAGAGTTTTTAAAAAAATTTACTTTTAAGTTTGGTAGTTGTAAATTCTATGTTTCATGTGTTGGTGGTAATTTTTTAAATGTTAGTATATTTCTTGTAACTCTAAAATTTTGAGGGTGTCTTTTGCAATTATTAAAACTATAGATTAATTTTGAAAAATATTAAATTTCAGCGGTCTACCAATCGACGAATTTGATGTGTGCTAGTTAAAAATTTTGAAAATTTAGAGTTTTTTTTACGATTTTTAAATTTTGAAGGAGTTTTTTAAAAATTTTGAGGTTAATTTTGGCAAATTTTAATTTTTTAGGTGTCTAAGGGTAATATCTTGAATTCATCTTATTTTATTTACAAATTTTAGAATTTTAGGGTGGCTTTTTATAATTTGAACTTTTGAAGGTGTTTCTATAATTTTTGAGATATTGAGGGTGTTAATTAAAAAATTTAAATTTAAATGTCAAAAATTTTAGGTGTATCATGGTAATCTCTTGAATTCATCTGTGTTGTTTGTAAGTTTTAAAATTTTAGAATTTTAATGTGCTTGTCTGTAATTTAAACTTTTGTGGGTGTTTTTATAATTTTTGAGACATTGAGGTGTTAACTGTAAATTTTAAATTCTTTGCAAGCTGATGTTAATTTTTTAATTTCATGTTTTTTATTTTAAGTTTTGAGACATTGGGATGATTTTTATAATTTTGAACTTTTCAGGGTCTTTTTTGCAATTTTAAAACTTTTTATGGTTTTTTTGCAATACTTCATGTATTATAATATGTTATCTACTTGTAATTTCTTTATCTTAACAAACTAATATCATTTTTATGTTTTATATATTTTATTAATATTAGTTTTTTTAAATTGTTAAGCTAAACATGGTTTACATAGGATTAGGATAAGATATGATTATGATTAGGATAGATTAAGATATAAATAAAATATTCAAAATAGTGAAGGGTAATATTGACCATTAAAAATTAGAATTTGATTATAGATAAGGTAGTTCAAACTATAAAGGGGTATATTTGTCTAAAAAAGATTTTCCGAACTCGTGCTTTTAAAGAGAGTAATGATGTACTTCTCACAAGTAGCTTGGAAGTCGATAACCACAAAATACTCGGTTTGGTACTGAAGTCCATGAGCAGACGAAAGCATGTTGGACGGCCTAAAGAGAATCACAAACAACTTTGTACTATAGATGAGTATGAAAGTAGTCACAGCGAAATTGCACTACAAATTCTGAAATTGGTTGCGATAATTTCCCTTATAGGTTAGTTTTAGCTTTAGCTAGTAAAAGACAAAGATGCTACTTTTTCTAAATCCATTTATGTATATTAAGTAAACGAAAAGACATGAATCAGTACTCAAAAGAATTCCCTACTGACCTATTGTTAGTATTTGTTTGTAAAAAACAAGATAGTCCCACATTGGAATTTTGAACATTCTTTTAGAGGTTTAAAAGCATTGAATGCTTATTGGGCTTTGAATAATGGATCAAAGTGTAGGCTTCTAAACCCGCGTGCGGGTAGCGCGAATAATGCGCGATTATTAGACGCACTTAGCACTTTGCACGCTTGCCGCTGCCGCTTAAATGTTCTATTTTATATATATATAATTATATATTGAATATATTTTATTTTTAATGTTATTTCGAAATTTAAAAATTATGAAAAGACAAGTGACTGTTGAAAAGTGGCTGTTTGTTCTAAGGGGTGTTTTGAAAAGTTGTGACTGTTGGAAGCACCTTTTCAAAACTATAAATAGTTTATGCTTTTCAGATATCTTTTAACAATTCATTTTCTGAATCTTTTCTAGCAAAAACATCTGCAATATTACAAACTTGTTTCACAACGAATTAAGGAAAATTCCAGATTTGCTTACTGGAATTTTTATTTTCTGTTGTATCCTGGGAAGAAAATTTGCATTAACCCGAAGCAACTTTGAATATCAAGTGGGGGCAAATATTTCTTTAAGGAAAGTGTTTCACGCCTCAGAATTTCTGTCTCCTTAATTGTTTACTAACACCTATTAGAGCATCTCAGAAACAAAAGAGACTTCTAGTTCATAACTTGACCCCATCATAAGGCAACAAAACAATAAGAGCATTCTAAAAATATTTGGTAATCATCATGATCCATTACATAAAAGAGACTTCTTAAGCACAATCTGGAAAAATACCCATCTTAATCGCAGGGATCATTAACTGGATTAACAATGAATTTTTAGAAATAACGAAGATCAAAAGAAGAGGATGCAGAGGGTTCCTCACCTTGGAAGGTATTCTTGATCAGACTGGAATAGGGAGAAACGCAAGCAGATTGTGCTGAGGTATTGAGTAAAGAAAGACTTCTTTTTGGGCGTTTGCTTCTTTATATAGACCGATGTTGAATTTTTTATCTCTTACTTTGTTTTATAATGTTCATCTCTGACAAATTCAACTGATCTTTCTTTGAGTGGCCAAGCCTGAACCAAATAATTAACAAATTAGTTCACTAATTACTTGTCTAATTGTTCGGTCGTGTTCGACTCGGTAGTTAGTTTAACAGTAAACAAATAGTTTTTAGTACTCAGCTCATAAACAATAGAATTTAATCATTTATATTTGGATTGTTTTAATCAACATTTGTTTAAGGGAAAATTGTGTCGAGGTCCCAATTTTAAAACCCCCATGTGATCAACCCCTTCAACCTTTTTCCCATGTGTAAAAGCCCCCAAAATCTAAAAAAAAATATGATTCGATCTTTATTCCCTCCCAACTAAGTAGAGAGAGAAAAAAATAAAAAATCTCAAAATGTCATTATTTCCTCCTCTCTCTTCTCTCCAAATCTCAATCTCCATGGCTCCTCCTTCCTCCTCTCCTCTCCTCTCCTCCTCTCTCTCCTAACCTTAGCCTTCCTCCTCTCTTCCTCTTCCTCCTTTTTCCCTCAGACACTGACATCCTCCTCAGCCACCATCGACCTTAGGTGCATGCTCTGGCCGTGTTGTCTCTTTCTTCGGCATCACCCTCCGCCATCACAACCTCGAGTGCATCCTCAATCCTCACAGTCTCCCTTTCTGGCCTCCCTTTCCGTCACTACTGACCTCGAGCACACTCTCAACAAATTTTCCTCCATTGTCTATGACAAGATCTCCTTCTCCGAGATCACAACAAGGAGGAAGGCCATAAGGGACCCTAGATAATGTAGGGATCTTGAGTTGAGTATTGTATTTGTCGTCTATGGTGGAGCATAGACGTAATAATGGGTATAAAGAGATTCATATAATAATGGGTATAAAGAGATTCATATGAAAGCTTTTCAAAAAGTAGAGGATTCGACTTTTCATAACAAGCAACAAGTTCCCCAAGACTTGTAAGGTACGGTTTATGTCAAAGAAATATAAATTCTATTTAAATATTATGAAAAGATGAAACTTTAAAGAAATAGTGGCTAAATGTGATTTCTGTTTGACAATTTTTGATATTAAGTTCAATATGTATGATGTTAAGTCTAACGAGTTGAAAGTGAAGTCCAAGGGCATGTATGTTAAGTCTACTAGGTTGAATAATAGGTCTAAAGGTGGAATGTTAAGTATAATTGATTATATTTTAAGTCTAATTTATTGAATGTTAAGTGTAATTTGTTACATGTTAAGTCTAATGTGTTGTATGTTAAGTCTTATTGGTTTGATGTTAATTCTAATTTGTTGAATATTAAGTGCAACTTATTACATGTTAAGTCTAATGCGTTGTATGTTAAGTATAATTGGCGTTATGTTAATTTTGGTTGGTTGAATGTTAAGTCTATAAATATTAAGTCTAATTAGTTAAAAGTTAAGCCTAATTGGAAAATGTTTTTTATCTAATGAAAAGCATGGTTATTTGTAATAAAAAATAATGTTAAGTCTAAATTGTCCCATGTTAATTCTTATGAGAGAAATGTCAAGTCTAATCTGCTGAATATTAATTCTAATTAGAGGAATGTTAAGTCTAATAAGTTGAATGTTAACTCTAATCGAACGATTGTCAAGTCTAATTTGTTGAATGGTAGGTCTCGTTTGTTAACTCAAATTGGTTCAATGTTAATTCTTGTTTAATTTTTTAATTTATTTAGTTTTTATTATTTGTTATAGATTTTATATTCTGATTATTTTCTAAACATTTGTAGTGTTGCCCCACTTTGAACTCAAAAAATAAATGTTTAGAAAATAATCAGAATATAAAATCTATAATAAATAATAAAAACTAAACAAATAAAAAAAATTAAACAATACTTAACATCGAGCCAATTTGAGTTAACATACAAGACTTAACATTCAACAGATTAGACATGACAATCTTTCGATTAGACTTACCATTCAACTTATTAATTAGACTTAATATTCTTCTAATTAGAATTAACATTCAGCAGATTAGACTTGACATTCCTCTCATTACAATTAACATGGGATAGTTTAGACTTAACATTATTTTCATTACAAATAACATGCTTTTTACTAGATAAAAATATCTTTCAATTAGGCTTAACATTTAACCAATTAGACTTAACATTCAACTCTATAAACTTAACATTCAACCAATTAGAATTAACATCACGTCAATTAGACTTAACATACAATGATTAGACTTAACATGTAATGAGTTCAATTAGAATTCAACAAATTAGAATTAATATTATGTTAATTAGACTAAACATACAACACTTAGACTTAACATGTAACGATTCACACTTAACATTCAATAAATTACACTTAAAATATAATCAATTACACTTAACATTCTACCTTTGGACCTGTTATTCAACCCAGCAGACTTAACATACAAGCCATTGGACTTTACTTTCAACTTGTAAGACTTAACATCATACATATTGAACTTAACATTAAAAATTGTCAAACAGAAATCGCATTTAGTCGGTATTTCTTTATATTTTTATCTTTTTATAATGTTTAAATAGAAATTACAAATTTCTTTAAAAATATTGATACATTACAGGTCTTGGGGAACTTGCTGCTTGTTATGGAAAGTCGAATCCTCTACTTTTTAAAAAGCTTTCATATGAATCTCTGTACACTCAATATTGTGGCTATTCTCCACCATAGATGACAAATACAATACTCAACTCAAGATTCATACATTATCTAGGGTCCCTTATGGCCTTCTTCTTGGCGGTGATCTCGGAGAAGGAGATCTTGTCATAGACATTGAGGCGAACTTGTTGAGGATGTGCTCAAGGTCAGTAGTGGCGGAGAGGGAGGCCGAAAAGGGAGACTATGAGGATTGAGGGTGCGCTCGAGATTGGTGGTGGCGGAGGGCGAGGCCGAAGAAAGAGACAACACGGCCAGAGCGTGCACCCAAGGTTGGTGGTAGCGGAGAGGGATGTCAGTGTCTGAGGGAAAAAGGAGGAAGAGGGAGAGAGGAGGAAAGTTAAGGTTAGGAGAGAGAAGGAGATGAGAGGAGAGGGGGAAGAAGGAGTCATGAAGATTGAGATATGGAGAAAAGAGAGAGGAGGAAATAAGGGCATTTTGGGTTTTTTTTTCGATCTTTCTCTCATTGTGCTTCGTTGGCAGGGAATAAGGGCTAAATCACTTTTTTTTTATTTTGGGGGCTTTTACACATGGAGGGTTTTCAAATTGGGGTCTTGACACAGTTTTCCCTTTGTTTAAAATGTCATCTCTTATAATTTGTATTATTAAATGAATGTTTTGGTTTTGATTCCAATACATTCTCTAACAATTTTTAAACAAATTTATAGCACTTATATCATTTTTAAAAATCAAATTTCTTTAACCAAATAAAAGTATCATTTTAATTTAATAGTTTAATAGTCATAAAATATAAATTTATTGATCAAATAAACATACTATCATTACTAAAAAGGAACAATTTTAATAGAAATTTAGATGCTATTTAAAAGTCAAATTCTTTGTATCACTTTAACGAGTACAATATTTTCTTATTTAAGTAGTTCATTGTTCGTAAATACTAGAATATTAATCACATGAATACATTTTAACGTTTGATAAAATATAAAATAATGTTCAGGAGTATTCGTGTCTAAAATTTGGATTGAGAAAGAATCGCACAAGATTTTAGATATTTCGAGAAGATATTATTAAAAACAGATTTTAGCTGAGCGAGCCCTGCCTACCTTACCTTAGTATGCAACTTACTTGAAGCTTAGGGGCTGTTTGTTTCATCAATTTATAGAAAAGGATTAGGAATTGGGGACTGACAGTGGCAGAATTGTAATTTTTGGATTCTTTGTGAATCATATTCTTTAGTTTGGCTCAGAAAAATTTTTGGGATTACCAATTCCTAGAAGTAGCAACAGTATGGGTTTTTTATAGAAACCCAAATCGGAGAAGGTTGGGCGGATTTGGGCTAGATTTCTGACATTTGTCGATTCCGATTCCGATTCCGATTCCTAGAGGTCACGAAATCAAGCCCTAGATCTGGATTCGTTGTTCTCCTGCCCTTCGTCTTCGCGCCTCTTCTCCCGCCCTTCGTCTTCTTCTACTTGGGGTCGGGGCTGTTTGTCGAAACCCTAGATTCTCTGAAGTCGGAGGGTTTCTGGCCTTTGATTTATTTAATTTGATTTCCACGATCTTGTTGGTGGGTTTCTGGCCTTTGATTCTTGGTGTTACCTACTCGAAATTGTTCTGGTTCGGAGCATTTTGTTGGCTACGGTGGGTTCTCTGTATTCGGCAACTTTGCTGCTTGGACATCAGCATTTTCCCCCCTCTGCAGCTAGGTATAAATTTTTAAACTCTTTTTTAGCCTAATTTCTTCGTGCTTAGTCTATATTGCTTCTTGATAATTGTGTGAGATGGAATGCAACATTAGTTAAAATAATTTTCCTTTCAATTAGATTTCTTGCTTTTGAAGAAATAGATATTTGTATCAATTATCTACTTAATTTTGACAAGAAATAAGTAGTCATCTTAAGCTGTAACTGTATGATAACTTTAAAACGGATGTAGATGGATATGGAAGATGAGGAAGAATTGAAGAGGATGTGTGCTAATACAGCTGTCTACGCTGTGGTCACTTTGGTAACATGTATCTTGAGAATGCGTGCTAAGCGCAAGAGAATATCAAATTGTACGAAGCAAGAAAAGATCAGAAAAATATATTGTAGAGAGGCTCACTTCAGACGTGTACTGGAGGGCTATCAAGATAGCTGCCAATCTTATATTAGAATGAGACCGAGGGCCTTTTTTAAACTTGTTGAAGTAATGAAAGCAAACGGTTTATTAAAAGATACAAGACACGTTCAAGTTGAAGAACAGCTTGCTATGTTCCTAAGTATTGTTGGGCACAAAACTAAAAATAGAATAATAAGAACTGAGTTCATAAGATCAGGGGAAACAGTGAGCAGGTATTTCAATAAAGTCTTGTCTGCAATGAATGGATTACGTGATCGGTACATGAAGCAAGCCCCAAAAGAAGTTCCTGAGGAGATTGCAAACAACTCAAATTATTTTCCGTACTTTAAGGTAAATTAAATACATACAACTTAATAATTTTCCAAAGAAGCTTTTTTTTATTTAACTATGTATAATTTATAATTTTTTATAGGACTGCATTGGTTTGATAGATGGCACACACGTCGACGCGGTGTTACCTAGTGACCTAGTTGCACGGTTTAGAGGGCGAAAAGGGGTGACCCAAAACATCTTAGCAGCCTGCACCCCCAATAAACTATTTACTTATGTCTTGGCTGGCTGGGAGGGGGCAGCAAATGATTATAGGGTATTACAAGACGCCCTGTCTAGGCCACAGCCTTACGGGCTCCGAGTTTACGATGGTATTCATTCTCACTTGTGCACATTATGAATAATTTATTAACTACTTGGCAATATTTTAGATTTTAAAATACTGTTTAATTAATGTAGGTAAATATTACTTATGTGACGCTGGATACACGACAATGCCAGGTTTCATATCCCCATATCGCAGTGTCCGATATTATTTAAAAGAGCACACCGGTAGGACACCAAAGAATAGGAAGGAGTTGTTCAATTTAAGGCATTCATCTTTAAGATCAAAAATTGAATGCACATTTGGGATACTGAAGAATCGGTTTAAAATTCTTTCTGCGAAGTCGAATTATCCATTTCCCACTCAAGTGGACATTGTACTAGCGTGTACTGTGTTGCACAACTTTATTGCCTTGGAGGATCCGGCTGATGATATTTTCAATGAAAATGTTGAAATTGATGAAGATACTGGGGAAGAGACAAATGAAGACGATTCAAATATGGTGGACTATACTCAAAGTAGGACACAAAGAGAGGATCGAGATGTTAGAAATGAATGGAAGGAGATGTGAGATCAAATTGCTTGGGCGATGTGGGTGGATTATTGTGCAAAGTACAATGGTGGTAACACAATGGAGAGCGGTTTAACTTAGTGTAGCATCTGTTCTATGGCTATGTAATAACTTGGTGAATTTTAAAATACTGTTCGCATCGATATTGTTTATTGTTTTTTTGATTGTACCAAAACATTTCTACTTTTATCGGTTGCTCTTTTTTTATGTTGTTTGAACCAGAAATATCATCGTTTCGTATATTCCTTGATAAATGCATTCATATCCCATATTGTTTTATATTTCTTTATTGTTAATATGGCTATGCTTACAAAATATATTAGGTATGACTAACAATCTGGCAGATAAGCAAAGCGTGCATTCTCATTCGAATGCAATGCCAAATCCTACATCAGGGATTAACATGAACTGCATGCCTGTTCGACCACAGCCATTCACCTCACCTCCGCATACATTCTCACCATTCCCACCATGGGATGGTAATTATGGTGGGATGACACAGCCGCCAATGTCATACATGAGCTTGTTAGGCAGTCCACAAGGTTTGCTGTTTCCCACAGCCAGTTCTCAAAGTAGTGGACCTAATCAATTTTCACCGAACACTGGTGATTCAGGTGGAAAGGATATTCATGACGTTGATGGTGCGGAGCACACTTCGCCATTGAAAAGAGGGAAAAGATTAGCCCATAAAAAAAAGGTTTCGTGTGCCAGGTTGAACTCAAGAGGCGTGGCTAATAAGTTTTGGCTTCCAGAGCACGATGATGTGCTTATTCCTTATCTTGCAGATTTAGCATTGGATGGCATGAAGCCAGACAAGAACTTCAAGGCTGAAGCTTATAAAATGGCTGCCATGAAAATCAACATGCAATTCAGGACTGATTTCACTCACCTTCATGTCCTTAACCACTTGAAATGTTTGAGGAACAAATTCAATGACATGAAAGCTTGTCTTGATATAAGTGGTGCTGGTGGGATGAAACAAGTAAAATGATTACATTGGATGAGGAAACCTTGAAATCTTGGGCCCAGGTATAACAAATTCAGCATCTATATTGTCACCTTCAATTTAATACATTTGATTCACTACTTATAAGTATTTATTATTGCAGGACAAATCCAATTCTAAGTACAAAGTGTACCTAAACAAACCCCTTCCTCACTTCAAAAATTTACAAGTTATCATGGGTGATGATCAAGCTAAGGGTGATTTTGTTAGGCCCGTGTACGCTAACATTGGGTCTAGTAGGTCCATACCTATTCCCGATGATGATTGCGAGATTCTAGAGGAGAGTGACACTGAACCACAGTCTGATGCTTGTAACCAACCACGTTCTGGTGCTGTTAACCAACCACAACCCACTACATATAAGACTAAGAGTAAAGACAACATGACTTCATCATCTAACAAAAAAACCAAAAAATCTAATCGTGAAGAGGAAATGCTATGTGCCTTTGTTGAGTCCATGTCTCAGTCAATGAGAAATCAACACGTTATACACTGGACTGAGCAGTTGGCTGCAGCGTTGAAGGAACATAGGTCTGAATATTCCGAGGAGTTCCTCGATAGGGTTTTAGACCATTTATATGACAATGAACATGAAGCTAGGAGGTTTTTCATAAAATCCAAGGAAGGTCAGCAGAGGTACATCACAAAATTAGTTAACGACCAAGGTTGGCCGGATAACTAGTTTGTTGGGTTTCGATTATATTTTGATGGATATTGTTGTGTTAATTGCAAACTATTAATGTTGCAATATGTATTTTCATTATGAAGAACAGCTATGTCGTTGTAGGATTGATGAATTGGTATATTTGCAATCTTTGTTGCAGGTAAGTATGGTCGTGGAATGATCAATGAGTTCTTTGAATTTTGTCTTTGCTTTTGATATCAGATAAGTTGGTTTGTGCCTGTTTTTTGCTTTGTGCGGCTCATGCTGCTGCTGCTGGTTGGTTTGTGCCTGTTTTGAGCTTTGTGCAGCTCATGCTGCTGCTGCTGGTTGGTTTGTGCCTGTTTTTTGCTTTGTGCAGCTCATGTCGCTGCTGCTGGTTGGTTTGTGCCTGTTTTGAGCTTGTGGGCAGCTCATGCTGCTGCTGGTGGTTGGTTTGTGCATGTTTTTTGCTTTGTACAGCTCATGCCGCTGCTGCTGGTTTGTTTGTGCCTGTTTTGAGCTTGTGTGCAGCTCATGCTGCTGCTGCTGGTTGGTTTGTGCCTGTTTTTTTGCTTTGTGCAGCTTATGCTGCTGCTGCTGGTTGGTTTGTGCCTGTTTTTTTCTTTGTGCAGCTCATGCTGCTGCTGCTGGTTGGTTTGTGCATGTTTTGAGCTTTGTGCAGCTCATGCTGCTGCTGCTGCTTGGGTTGTGCCTTTTTTTTTTGCTTTGTGCAGCTCATGCTGCTGCTGCTGGTTGGTTTGTGCCTGTTTTTTTGCTTTGTGCAGCTCATGCTGCTGCTGCTGGTTGGTTTGTGCCTGTTTTTTGCTTTGTGCAGCTCATGCTGCTGCTTCTAGTTGGTTTGTGCCTGTTTTGAGCTTTGTGCAGCTCATGCTGCTGCTGTTAGTTGGTTTGTGCCTGTTTTTTGCTTGTGTGCAGCTCAGTTTGTGCCTGTTTTTTGCTTTGTGCAGCTCATGCTGCTGCTGCTGGTTGGTTCGTGCCTGTTTTGAGCTTGTGTGCAGCTCATGCTGCTACTGCAGCTCAGTTTGTGCCTGTTTTTTTGCTTTGTGCAGCTCATGCTGCTGCTGCTGATTGGTTCGTGCCTGTTTTGAGCTTGTGTGCAGCTCATGCTGCTGCTGGTGGTTGGTTTGTGCTTGTTTTCAGCTTGTGCAGCATTTGCTGCAACTGGGGTTTGGTGCTGTGGGTTACTTGTTGTTTTGGTTTGCCTTGCCTGTGGTTTTCCTTGCACTTGATATGTGGCAATGATGATGATCAACGTTTTCTGAGAATGTAATCTAACTTACATCGTTTATTATATCCAGATGAGGCAAAAGGGGATGAGATTGCAGCCTACATTGAATTGACAATGTCTAGGCGAGGCAATTCATCCTTATAATGCAATCTGTAATAAACATGTTTAAGTTATAGGTGGGGGCAATCAATGATGACAATTTGATCTATTACTGAGCCATACAATATCAATTAGAATTTGTACCCAGTTCAAACAACAGTTTTCATTACTATTACTGAGCCATACAATATCAATTAGAATTTGTACCCAGTTCAAACAACAGTTTTCATTACACCCTCGGTAGTTTTTGCAAGTACAGGTACATGACATGAAGTTTGTAATAATTAAAATAACACAAAAAATTGCTAAGAAAATCGCAGAAATTTTCCAAACCAGTAGTTGATTTTCGACAAGTCTCAATTCTTTCTTCAGCTTCTTTGATTACAAAATATATTTTTCTCCGTACCTATTTTCTTTGACATATTGGCTTCCTTGGTTGCTTGATGACTCTCCTCTTTCTTCAGCCCATTCGAAAAAATTACTTTCTTTATTTGGGAATTTTGCACACCCCCCAATAACACCTACCCTTATTTTTACCATCCTTACACACTTTCATCGGTGTTCGGAGATAGCAGTCGCAATAAACTTCATAATTCTGCCAGCACTCTTCTTATATCATTTTCATGTCGGGGCAGCAAATTGAAGACAATGGGAATTTTATAAATGCTGAAAATGAGAATGTTTGGATTATTTGTGAGACCTCAAGGTGAATTTATAGCCACATTGGCCCTCTACTAGCCGTTGCTATAGTGTTCTGACTATGTTTTTTGAAATATGAAATTTGAAGCTGAAAATATCCGTTGCTACAGTGATTCCAGCAAGAAAATATAATTTTTGGTGCTTCAACCCTTTGCTACAGTAGTTTTTAAATGTTAAAGAGGTTCTCTGTTGCTACAGTATCTAATCCCCAAAAAAGGGTCTTTTTGAAGCAAACATGGTATTAGGAATTGGACCAATTCTATAAAAGTGAGATTCCTAATCCTTTGGATGAAACAAACATAGAATGCCAAAAAAATAGGATTCCATAAAACTATTACTTGTCTATAAAAATTTTATGGATTAGGTTAGAATCCATAAATAAAATAGGATTCCTAATCCTATTCTTACCCTCTATTGAACCAAACAGCCCCTTAGACGAGCACCGCGAAAGGGGTTTTCCAGCAAGCATCGCCTTTTTGCTTCTCCTTGACGGCTTCAACTTCTCCGTCGGCTTTGAAATCATTGATGATTCTTTTTATAATATTCTTTTCATAATATTCTGACATGCCCCGCAACCTAGAATCAGGTAGCAGTAACATTATTTTATGTTATAGTATTGGTTTGTAAAAACAAGATAGTCCCACATTGAATATTTGATCATTATTTTAGATATTTATAAATATTTAATGATTGTTAGTATTTGATAAATAGGTTAAAGCATTGACTTCTAATCACTGATGCATTTAACGTGAATAATGTGTTATTATTAGACGTACTTAGCACTTGGAAAATGGCTATTTTTTATTGTTGGAAAATTTTTTTCAACGGGTGTTTTGAAAATTTATTATTTATGAGTATGGTATTTTAGAAAGAAAATTTGCATTAACTTGAAGCAAACTTGGTAAAAGAAAGTGTTTTCCGATGGGTGTTTTGAAAATTTATGACTATTCTATCATAGGAAGAAATTTTGCATTAACCTAACCCAAAATTAATGAAGGAAAGTGTTTCACGTCTCAGAAATTCTTTCATCTTCTTTATTTTTATTAACATTTTATACTGCCTTAAAGTCTCCCCACTGTACTAATTTTCCAAAATTGTTGTGACCATTGATGTTTATAAATTTTAGTATTCTAACACATATTTTAAAATTAGTCCCTCAACTGATTGAATTTTGATATGATGTGCCCTAATTCGCAAAAGTTGGTTTATATAAATCTCTCTCATCGTACTCTTACTCTTGAGTAGAGGAGTTGATCTCGAAATAATCTATGAATTGGGAGACCTCATAACAATTCAAAGATTCG